GTGACGACGACCCTGTGGACCAGTGGGATACCCCAACGGCTGGAGACCCAGGCTTCACTCCAACAGGCAGCTTCCAGGCACTCTTCGAGGACGCGGAGGCTGACATCCGAGGATACCTTTGGATGGGCAGCCACAAAACATATTGCTGGTCAAGACCTGGCAGGCGGCGCGGACATGTATCAGATTGTGAGAGAGCAGAAACTGTTGGAACGTACGAATCAGATGGAGCTGGTGGCAACCAACATCACCGTCGTATCCGCTGGCCAGCGGTATAAGGAGCGAGTGGTGGAGGAGGGCTACCAGGTGGACCCTGTGTGCGCCCGTTGCGGGAAAAGCCCTGAGCCCCTCTTCCATCGCATTTGGCACTGTGAGAGGAATGTAGGCCACGACGATTTTGAGCGCACGCAGTTTTTGGTCCCGCAAGCGTGTGCTCGACACGAATCCGAACCGAGTTTGTGGCTTCGGGGCCTCCCTCCCTCCTACCTTACCCGCCCCCGCTTCGATGAGGAGGCGATCCGAGGATTGGAGGAGAGGTTTGGAGGCCCTGGGGGTTTTGCGAGCTGTCGCCACGGCGAGGAACTCCACATTTTTGGAGATGGCTCAGGCGGCAAGTTTTCTGACGATCCCCGTAGGAGAAGGTGCGGAGCGGCGATCACTGCGCTCCGACCGACAGAGTATGGTTTCGAGTTAGGTGTTGCGTTGTGTCGCCCGTTACCTGGAGACAAACAGTCTGTTCCCAGGGCGGAGGTGTTTGCTTTCTCTATGGCGCTGTCGGAGGTCCCAGGTCCGCTCATTTTTGTGACCGACCATCTGGCTATTTTCCGTTCGTGGAAGGACCGCCTGGAGGTCCCGCGCCCTGGAGGCCAAAATGAGGACCTGTGGACCGAGGCGCGACTGTTGTGGGAAGCGAGGCCAGACAAAGATAAGTTGGAGGTTGTCTGGACCCTATCCCATTTAGATGATAACCCAGAGCAGCTTGAGACCCCTCTCGAACTGTTTTACGCTTGCGGCAATATGACTGCTGACCAGTGGGCGGGGAGGGCTTCGGAGCTGGCGGGGGAGAGGGGGCTTCTCGCTGACATGCCTGATACAGATCAGGTGGACGCGCTGGCGGCGTTGATCCGACGCCGTGCGCGTAGAGCGATGATCGATGCCTCTGCTGCAGAGCCCCGCGCCAGATCTTCCCGGCCTTTGGCAGTGCCTAGAATGGCTAAGCGTGACAGAATCCTGGCGGCGTCGGCCCACCAACTGAGGAAGTGTGAGTCGAAGTGGGTGTGTTTGCGGTGTAACATGGTGGTGGCCGACGCTTTGTTTCAGAGTTCTGCAGAGAGCCCGTGCGCCAGCGCATCCTCTTTGAGCGTGGAAGCCTGCCCACTGGCCCCAGCGGCGGTCAGGCTGGCAGCGGCGGAGGTCCACGTCTCCCACCGAATGAGTTTTCCCCCGTTGGTTCATTTCGGTTTGCTCCACCTGCGGCAGGTACCACACGATCGACCCTCGGGGGTTGACGTACCGTTGTGAGAGACCCTCGGCGAAAGGTAAAGAGAACTTGAATCGGTTGAGTCAGGGGCGCTTTCCACGTAGAGAAGCCCCCCCCAAGCCTATTTTGGCAGCCATGGCGGAGAGGGAGCGTCTGATTCTGTCGTCGAGTGTCGTCGTCGATGTTCCTTGCAGTGCTCCCTCCCAGCCGCAGGCCTCTCCTCCCCCCACCCCTTCCAGACGAGAAGGCCCAGGCGGCGATGCTGCTGCGGGGAGGACCCGCCATCGCGCGAGACCCCCGCAGCCCGCCTAGGGTGTGGGGTGGAGGTGTGTGCTCGGAGGGATCAGGCCTCCCTGTTGAATGGCCTCTAGGGCCGAGGACAGCGGTCCGCACTCAGCTAATCCGGCTAATCCTCGTCCTCTCGTCCACGCCAACTCCTCCTCCTCCTCCTCCTCCTCCTCCTCCTCCTCCTCCTCCTCCTCCTCCTCCTCCTCCTCCTCCTCCTCCTCCTCCCGCAACTCGTCCTCCCCCGTACGCTTTCATTCGGAAAAAGCCCTCCCTGTCGCACCCCCAGACGTGTCAGTAGGGTAGACTGGGCGTGTCAACTGAAACTTCCTCACCACTTATGATCCTGAACCTTGAAATTTGCGGCAGCGTCACGGATGGAGAGGGGGCAGTTATTCAAATGTGGCTCTCGCAGTAGCGCCGAACACATTCGTCAGAAAAGCGTGCAACTGCTTCATGGATGGAGGGCGAGTCGTGTTGAACCTGTTGGTCTCCCCTTCGCGCCGCGCACATTGTTCTTACAACACTTCACCAGCTTCAAGGATAATAGGCGGTTCCTTTTCAACATGTGGCTATCGATCGCATTACGCCGCGCACCTTCGTCTCAAACAATTCCCACAGTTTTACGGACGGAGGAGGAGGGGTAAGTTTCAAAGATGTAACTCTCGCCACGCTCTCGCGCACAGTCGTTTTAAAATTGCGCAACACGTTCAGTTGTTCGCAAAATTCGCTGCTTGG